ACGAGCCGAGTATTGTCCCGAATATTCAAATCCGGGACATTATCAAAGCGTTTGTCGAGATACAAACGTTCTCGTCCCGGGACAATAACGTATCGCTTGTGATTGCCTGTCAGTCTCAGTAAATGGAACCTGAAATGTCACAGAAAATGTAGATTTAGGTATTATTTTGAAATAGATGTTATTTCGGTTTAACTTACTTATGATTTAGTGGTTTGAGAATGGGACTCTATCGTCACTCGACTCGTTGATGTTTTTGGGCTTCAATTCTCAGGGGCATAAAACCACATTATTATTTTATATTTCCAGTCTGGAAATAAACATTCAGTAACATTGCACGTTTGTAACAACCTTTCTTAATTTATTCTAACCTTTCTTAATCTTTTCCTTATTCTTCGCAATAAACGTAGGTTTAGGTAGGTACTGAAATCACATCACAAAAATATGATTTTGTTTGAAGAGTTGCCAGTTTGGCTGACTATATTTTGCATAAAATATGAGTAGGTATATAGAGGTTGAACAATAGTCACGTTTGCATTTTATGCTTCATGTACGAGACGTGTTTCATCTGTTGTATTGATGTTAAATAAATTCACATAACCATCGACGATACCTTATACCCTTGTCTATCTTCAATTGCAATATGAAGTTGAATTCACTTTAAATAGACAGGATTATAACATTAATGGTATAGAGAGACTGAATGCGAGATGAACTGACCCGACAAACTAACTACACAAATCATAATTAGTGCCCGATGACAATCTAAAGCGCTACAGATTACGGAGTGACTAAATGCCGTAGCACTCGTACATTTATCAACCAGTACCTCTAGTAGGAAAAACTTTCGAGTTCGTTTCGTTGCGTATTCAAAGTGTCATCGAAAAATTTTGTATGAAAAATTAAACAGCGCCCCCTAGGGCGGCTATAATATAGGGGGCACTGTTTAATTTTTCATACAAAATTTTTCGATGACACTTTGAATACGCAACGAAACGAACTCGAAAGTTTTTCCTACTAGAGGTACTGGAAAGGGATCGTAACCGTATCAACTCGAGGCGGTCAGTATTATTTGTATGAAACTCAATATTTCAATGCACACTTACCTGCACCGTAACGTAAACGCCTCGTCTTGCGATTGACAGCGCGCGAAAGGCGATGACATCTCGAAAAAGGCGATACGGTGATGATCCCTTTCCGAGTTGATATGTCTGCTATGACTTTAACTGTTATTACATAATAGGAATAGACTAATCAATTAGTACTCGATGGTATCGTGTGAAAAGTAAAGTAGCTTTTTTATCCCTTCCTGAGGTAAAAGCCCGACTGCGCCAGAGGAGTTATATTCAATGCACACTTACCTGCACCGTAACGTAAACGCCTCGTCTTGCGATTGACAGCGCGCGAAAGGCGATGACATCTCGAAAAAGGCGATACGGTGTTGATCCCTTTCCAAGTTGATATGTCTGCTATGACCTTAACTGTCATTACCCAATAGGGACTATTAAATTAGTGCTTGATGGTGAAAGGGATAGGATGGGAAAAGTAAAGCAGCTTTTCTTTCCCCTCCTTCTGGCGTAGTTTAGGCGACTGCGGACGGGTTATGTTTTTTCATTTGAAATAAATCACAGTTCCACGTGTTCAAATTATACAACACCAGTAATAGGTACCTCTGCATCGTAGCTCTTAAAAATTCAACTCATACGGTGATAAATCCGTTTGCCATTCACATATCTTCCAATAAATCATAGTGGCTGGCTCCTTCCCAAACCATCGGGGAGTTGAGGCGCGTACACACGATAGCGTCGCGCTCTGTGGTCTTATTGGCGTGAATCACTGTAAATTGACTTGGCTTGGTGAAAAATGTATGACGTAATACGCGTCTGGAATAACCATAGACTTCTAAAGCTGGGTTGCACCATCTTACTTTAACTTTGACAAACGTCAAAAATCTGTCAAACTCCATACAAAATACGCCGGTGATCGTTATAGTTACGGTCAAAGTTAGGTGGTGCAACTCAGCCTAAGTAGTACACTGCTAGATAAATTATTTGGAAATAATTGTGATTCGCTAAGGTTGTGATTGCTGTCACGTGCTTATTAAGACGAGCGAAAGAGTTGACAAACTGACACTCATATTCTTGGTTAAGGCGAACTATACTTGTATACCCATTCTTATAAGATACACCATACAAGAATGCATGGTAAATTCAGTGAACTGCTCCTGAATCGAATGTACTACTACTGTTTCTATTTATTTATATTAACCGGCAGACAGTGGTGACTGAGTTTGTTGCGGCGCTTCTTCTCAGCACTTGCCAAATGTTGGTCTCGAAGCGCTGGTAGGGTAAAAAGATTATGAGACATGTAGAGGCTCCTTAAGAGCAAAATGACGATTTGTAAGAACTATTTATTAGTCCAAACAAATAAAGAAATTTTGACTTTTGACTTTTGACTATAAAACGTTAATGATTAGTTTATAAGTGAATTGAAAATTTTAGTTATTCAGTTCACACCGGCACTCTGGCACAATTTTTGTTCTAAACGTTATATCAAGTAGCATACGAGTACTACATACTTAAAAGTGTTTAAACGGCCACTTACTGTGGTAGTTCACGTGTAAGGCAAGCTGTAGTAGCGGATTCGATTGCTGCTGAGAGCATGACTTGGCAAAAAAACTATCCGCTTTGTCGCACTCCGCCAACTTCATCATCATCATTTCAGACACAAGCCACCGTCTAACTTAACACTATCTGAAACTATCCACTTTGACCCACTGTCCACATTACCCAGTTCCACCTCCGGTGTGAACCAGCCCTTAGCCCCAAACGGAATGTGATCCTATCGGTCACAACATCTTAAATATTTTATCGACAAACGAATACCATATGTATGTAATAAAACACTCTCCCGAAATAGTTACTATAAATTAGACCAGAGTAAATAGTGAGTCAGGTATAGTGCTGTCGGAATCTTTAAAAATATACAGACACTAAAGGTACGGTGACCGTTTTGTGATTTGAATGGAGTATGCTCTACTATCGAAATGTGCTTCAATACGAATTCAACTTAATGATTTCATTACAATACATTTTGGAATTACTTAATGCAAAATAAAAGTATTTTTTCTTATCATTCAATAAAAACAGAAACTTTGATGTCTTTATGACTTGAAAGCGATCAAAAATCATTATGATCAACTCAGTAATATATATTTCAACTAGGGGGCGGGGCCGGTGTCGCAGCAATATGCCCAAAAACAGAACACATTGCTCGTGAAAGCAATGATGACAGCAGCGACATCATAATGTAAACAGTTTACGCTGCTTGCGTAGTACTAAAGATTATTCGAACGTTGAGTACTGATACCGCAGTGGATAATGAGCACATATTTTGATTTCTTTATGTGTGCGAATTTCTAATGCGACACTGAGTTTCGAACTTAGTGCATTAGTTGGCATCTCTCGATATCTCTATGGTTGTATACCTCTCATAGTTTACGCTAAGAACTGCGAGACTTTGAAGTAACATAGCTTAACATGTAAAATGCTATTAGCTACAAGAACTAGACTAACTAACTTTGTTTATAATACCGTGTGGCGTGAGCTTTATTTAAGGTCGCCCTCCAGATGTCGCGTTGTTTCAAAGTGATTCAAAGTTGAAATATTATCAATACAGACTGTATCAACCAGCTGTAGGTACCTTAACTTTGTTAGTACTGCTCTAATAAATTCAATTTAAAATAATAGGACTATAGCCCAATAGTGTTAGCATCGGCTTGCGGATGATCGCTAGTTTAATCTTTGTTGACAGCTAGGCTAGCCTATTGGGGTGAAGTGGATTCACCTACATGTATTATTATTAACTTACTTGACTATCGATAACGAGCGATACCGGTGTTTTTTGTATGGAGTTTGACAGATTTTTGACATTTGTCAAAGTTAAAGTAAGATGGTGCCCAAACCCAGACCAACCCAGCCTTAAGTAGGTTCAAAGTAAAGGATAGATTCTTTTCTGTGATTGGTCAATTAAAAGTTCATAATTAGACTATTTTTTTTCTTAATTTTCATTTCGTAACACTGACCTGAATAATGCACATTAGAGATTAAAAATCCCTGCTCTGTTCAAAGATCATTCTTGTACCTTTTACCAGCTATTTCTGTTCACACATCATGGTTGCACAATATCCGACGTATTTGCCAGCTAACTCACTCGTCTGTCACGATTCAGATGATTTAAGTATCACGAATCCCAGAAACTGTGGTCACAGTCTGACGGAGCAGGCTTACACAACACAGCAAATTTATTTTAATAATGGAGTTGACTGCTCAATAAATGTTTAGGTATTAAGTCTTTTTGTAATGTAGTCTGAATATGATGAAGAAAGGAATTGAGTTTATTTGAATATTACTTATCAATAACGTTTATTTATTAAACAATCATGTGACAAACATTACAGGTTTCCCCAATGCGAATAAATGTAGTTTTAAATACGTCGATATTAGGATAATTCTTACAAATACTAAGACTGACTGGAGGAATAAGTCTCCATTATACATTAAATCTGCTAATTGTGCCCAATTTAGTGCAATATCGTCTATAAATATTGTTTGGGTCTGGAACTGCTAGAGCTATGAGCTTTCCTAACCCACGAGGAAAATTTATAATAATCTACAGCCAGCTGATTTATTCTGTCTACGTCTTAGCTTTGTTTATTTAATATGGCCAACTATTCTGGTTTATGACATCACAGCTGTTAACCTGTCTCGTAAATCTTGTTTAAGTGGTTAATACAATACTAAACTATAACCATAATATTGAGAAACTATTTAGTTAATGCGAACCCATGACACATATTAGCAGTCGTGAAACTTATGGAATGCAATAGTTACAGTTGATTTTAGAGTTTTAGACACCGTTTACTACAGCAATCAAATTTAATCGATATAATATCATATGAATTTAATAAGTAATATTAACGTGATAACTTCTCTTTGTTTCAGATAATATCAACGACTGACAGCATGGTGGTATGAACAAAGACGCCAAACATGTTATTTCATAAATCGATCCAAATCTTGTGACAATAGCACAAAAGAAAGCACATAAAGACATCTTACAACACTATGAGACGCACTGACTTCAAAGGGGAGAACATAATAAATAGGAATAAGCAACTTGTCAAACACGATGACAGCAAACCCGGCTGGTTTATGATGCCACGTTAAAATCAAAGCGGAATTATGCCGACCGAAGAATGGGCCACAGATGAACCGTTGTACAATGACAGCTTTAGTACATTCACCGAAAATAACCACACGAACGCCACCGACCCCATCGAGGACAAAGCAATCCAGGCGGCGTTTTGCGTCGCTTACACCATCATATTCGTCGTCGGCATCTTTGGAAACGCCCTAGTATGCTACGCCGTCATCCGAAACAGAGCTATGCAAACCGTCACTAACCTCTTCATCACGAACCTCGCATTATCAGACATATTGCTCTGCGTATTTGCAGTACCGTTTACACCTCTTTACACTTTCCTAGGAAGATGGGTCTTCGGCGGCTTGCTATGCCATATCATGCCGTACGCTCAAGGATGCAGCGTCTACATTTCCACTCTAACTCTCACTTCAATAGCTATAGATAGATTCTTCGTTATCATCTACCCTTTCAAGCCGCGGATGAAAATCAAAACTTGCATTGGTCTCATCATCTTCATCTGGGTTTTTGCTCTATCAGTCACATTCCCGTACGGCTACTACATGGCCTTGCAAGACGTTTACTGTGCCGAACAATGGCCGTCGGATCAAATACGAAAAGCTTTTGGGGCTGTCACCACTATAATGCAATTCGTCCTACCATTTATTGTCATGGCATTTTGCTACACATGCGTCAGCGTAAAACTGAACGACCGCTTAAAATCTAGACCAGGAAGTAAAAACAGTAAGAAAGAAGACGCAGAAAGAGAACGAAAGAGAAGAACGAACAGGATGCTTATAGCAATGGTGGCCATCTTCGGATTGTCGTGGCTGCCGTTGAACTTGATAAACATCAGCAGTGACTTCTACTCGTTAGCCGAAGACTGGACTTATTACATGGTGTTATTTTTCGTTGCGCACTTCATAGCTATGTCTTCCACTTGCTATAATCCGTTCTTGTACGCGTGGTTGAATGAGAACTTTAGGAAGGAGTTTAAGCAGATACTGCCTTGTTTAGGGGCGTTAGTGACCAAGAAGTCTAAGCGAAAATTTAACCAGTCGGAGAGAACGGGTGCGTTTCGTTCGGAGAAGACCTGTAATGGGAACGAGACGGTCCAAGAGTCGCTTCTGACGTCAACAGTGAACAAAATGCCGTCGGTTAGATACAAAATCGAATTTAATGATAACCTGAAGGAATTTGATGATGAGGGCATTGAGAATATTAGCCCGGACGAGAAGCCCGAGGGCAATCCAAGTCCTAACGAAGACTGCGTTAATATGTACATGTTTGTTGATAAGTCCGTCGTAACTTCGGATAAGGAGCCCATCGTGTCGGCGCTATAACTTCATGGTGAGTTACATGTTTTGTTTTGTTTATAGTATCCCTTAGTGGTTAGTATTATGTGGAGAACTTCGCAACAAAGAAAACACTGTAGAATCTTAAGGAGTTATAATAGGTGCTATTTTGCAACAAAAAGCTACGTAAGTTGTGATGTGATGTTGAATGTATCTGTTCGAAATAAATAATTCACTCGAGAAAGGAAATGAGAGAAACATCTTGCGTGGGTAAACATAATTAAAAAGTAATGCATATTATATTCGTTCGATTCGATTATGTAAACATTATTATATTTAGCATTCGAATTTTTAGCTTTTGATGATTTTTTATTCCTTAACATTTAATAACAGAAACTATAAAAACTTCAAAAATACGACTCTTCGATTTCGATTAAAGTAGATAAAGATATTTGAGAATTGCAATCAAAAATGTTCTGGAGGTATCACTTAGGTACTTCTAAAATATCACCAATTTTATATCGCGCTTGAAAATACTATATTATGCCGACATGGAAACCTAATGACGTACACTGACATATAATATGAATCACTGACGAATATATACTTAGCGATACTAAATCAATGAATGCAATAAAACATCAGGCTCTATCGTACTTTATCTCCTTATGCATCTGTTGAAAAAACTTGTAAACTGAAAATGAATGGAAAAAATCAAATACATCACTCGCATCTAAAGAGTCTTGTCAACAGATTGTTTAGATTGAAAATATTGATACATCCGGTCTGAGATAAAAATTACACGATAAATGCAGTGAAGATTCTACAGATTGTTACGTACGTGCCACCGTTATTTTCCTTTCCTTGATACAAATTTTTATCTAATTCATACCTTAAGCATAAAAAAACAAATATACTTGAATCTTAGGCCTATTATTAGACTGATTTTTTTATTCATAAAAAGGCTGGTATTACACCACAATCGCACCTGGTGTTAGTGGGATGCAGTCTAGGATGGTAGGTACATATCTGCCCTGTAAGTGCCCATTCACTCTGGCCTTGAAAAGGCCCGGATTATAGTCTTCGGGAAAGACAGCAGCAGGCAGCGAATTCCAGTCCTTAGCTGTTCGCATTATAAAAGAGTCATCGACACTCTTAGTTGCTCAATATAATAGGTATAATATCATGATGATATTATGAACTAAACCTTTATTTGTTGATTCATAAACATAATATTAAACAGTTTCAAAGTGAACAAATACCTACTGTTGTTTGTATAAAGCAACCTTGAGATTGATTCTATAAGAAACGCTTTGAAATATCTTTTATGTTTTATGCTCATGGTGTCCGATCGAGTGTCTGCTCAAGATCCACGGTTTACGACTATTGTTTTATAGGTACAGTCGACAGTATATTAGACTTTACATTCTGTTGCAATATCGACCTTATTAGACACTCATAAGATGTCACAGTTGTTTATCTAAATAGTTCGTTTCATCAAATTTAAATGCTTCATTCAGAATACAAATATTTTTTTTGTATTAAAAATTACTTTTACGCAGTTTTTTTTTACACTGAAAACTCTCTAGAAAACTTTTGGAAAAGACAAAACAATTATTTATTTTATCCTTTTTTTGTCAAAAATGGTCGTCAATGTTTTATATTTTAACCGACTTCAAAAGATCCAGTTGTATGGTTCCTGATATAAAATAATTATCTGCCTCGTACTCAAAATAAAGTATACATATTTATTTATTTCGCTTCATTATGCAAAATAAACCCATTTCATAAATTATTTTCTCTTTGTTGCAGGCGTTTTCCATTCGAGTGACTGCGGCATCAACTTGGATGATTTCAATAATTTTAATTTAACCTCATTTGCATTTATAACAATAGAGTTTAACACAGTGAGTTTACTCTGGAGTTTAATCATAAATGTATGTACCCGTATATTTAAAAAAAATCAGCACGAAATCTATCTAATAAATTCCCTAAAAATGCATCTTCTAACTTCCTGTTAGTTTTTAAGGGCAACCCCTTACCACCCTGTAGATAATATTTAACTATCTGGTTCTGCTAAAAGATGAGTAAGATAGATGAACATCGAAATAATTGTTTGAACGATGTAAACCGTTATTAGTTTAAAATACAATCACCAGTGTTCGTCTCTTATGTAAAGAGTAAGATCATTTCTTATTTCCTTGATTATAAAAATATCAAAGTATGTAGGTATGTACCCAACATCATCATAATATTAATAACATTGTATCAAATTCACTAATTTCTAATGCACTCTACATATACATTGTATATACATATAAGACCGCCATGAGAGATCAGTGTAACATATAAATGTTATGTTCCTATTATCTGAAAGTATCTAATGTAACATATAGTTTTAAGTTATTTAGCTTTGTAAATAAATCATCATTGACGTTGTAAAAAGCTAGTAAGTAAGATTTTTCTAGTAAATAAGTGTGTAAATAAAGTAAAAAAGTGCTTACATCAATTTAAAGTTCGGAATGAACTGTGAGCCCATTGGTGGAAGTACTTTTGCGATACCTAGGTTAGAACTAGATTTAAACTATGCTAAAACTATTTTTGTAAATGTAAATGGTAGAATAAAGTGTACATTTACAAAGCAAGGCGTTGTAAATTGGTGTCAATGGAGGAAATATGTGCAATTTCGCTGTCATCTAATGAATAAAGTATACCAAAGACAAAAACTCTTTTCTTTGAATAAATCACAGATAACTAACTTAATTTTACAAGTATTCTGCTCAAAGATTTCAAAATGAAATTTAATTCCACAAAATCTTTTTTTTTTTTTTGGAATTATTGAAAATAGAAATGTGTTCATCAATATGAATAACTTTTTATTTTTGTCACCGTCAAATTATTAATTCGTAAATTTTTGTGAATCTGTAACTGCCCTTATATCAGCAACTTAAAAAAAACTATTTATATATTTTTAATAAACAACATCAAATCACTGAATGAAACAAATTCACGATTTGAATGCAAAGCAAATCGAAACACCACTTCATAATGAAATTCATAATCACCTAACAGCTCTAACTTCGTATTAATTCCTTAATTGCTTCTGAATAGCAAAAGTTTCCATTTTCAATCCTTCCAAAACTTAGCAGACCAGATTTGCTGGAGAAATCTTTGGATTACGTCAAATTCGAATAAAGGGGGATTTACACTGAATATTATGTAGAGTTGACATTCTAAATCTTACAATTGGCAAAGAAATCTTATATTACAAGAGGCTAGAGATTAAGAACATTATTAAATAAATAAAATAAAAAGACTTAAGAAGAAAACGTAGGCCGTCCACCCACAAGGTGGGCCATTATGGAAATTATTGGGGGAGGTCTATGTTCTGAAATGATGATGATGAAAAGACTTCTATAGATATAGGTTATTTCAAATAATGCCTGTGAATGAACCATGTGACAAGCAAATAATAAATAATTACCATAAAAATTATAGAGACTTCGGGGTACGGGAGCTTTGCTATAATAAAGTCAACAATACTTATCTTTTAAATCATATTTAAACACAGAACATGCAACCTGTATAATATTTTCCATACTGTATTTTATTATGTAAATTAACATCGTTCTCAACCCAAGGCATGGGCCAGCAAATGATGATGACTATAATAAGTAGTTGCAAGATTAGGCTACTCGTAGAAAATTTTATTTTAGGAACAGAAATGAGATATTTATGTATATGAACTGATTATAATAGCTTTTTTCACCACAACCCAGTAGATATTATGAGTAAATAATGGAAGAAATGAGAACAACTGGCATATTCAAATTGGCTGGTAAGCAAACCTCATCAAGTAAGTATTTTTATTTTTTAAGATAGGTAAGTACTCACTCACTGATTATTGGCCATTTGTTTATTAAGTAACAACACAAAATATGACGGCCTAGAAGCACCACAAATTTTCGTGGTAAGATATTTTTATCATTATATTTGGTGTTATACCTACTCGAGGCCGTAAGTAAGCTATTTGATGCATTTTCAGGTGCAAAAATAAGGTGCTTTCCTTGGTACCCACTCCACGCTTGGGATATTGAAACGAGGACGAATTGTAGGTACAGGCGCCCTGGCGAAAATAATTTCGTTGGATCAGATCGGATAAACGCTGGGACATCTTATTCAGTTGTAACAAGTGCTATTTTGCATCAAATATGTAGAATCAGATGTGCTCATCGTAAAAAGTTGAAATTATTAGAGCTTCAGGTAGGTATAGTATTTAAGAGCCATTCAGCACCGTTGTCGTAGCATCGGCATCGATTTGTAGGGTATACTGTATACCCTACAAATATGTATAATAAATAATAAATTAAATATAAATTAAAAAATATGTGTCCAAAATTTTTTCGTTATAATCTATCTGACGGACTAAGTAGAATTTCGATATCATTACCCAGTCATCATCCCTATTCCGCAGGTTTTTTTAGAACTATTCATCAGTTGTCCCGCTCTGGCACAGAAAATAAATGGTCACGTTAGGTTAGGTATACAGTTAATACAGTGCCCCTAGTAATGGGTTTGATTCCCACTCTTGTCATTCTTGCATTTTACATTCGTAACAGAGTCCCCACATAAACTTTCATCCGGATTTTTCACAATGAAGTGTATGTTTATCAGAATTAGGTTTAAAGACTTATAATTAATACAACAGTTCACTTAAAATGAATTCATCAATTTCAATAGTTTAGAAGTAAATTACCAAACAAAATAATGGAACTCTACTATACTATATGTAGTTGGTCCTCTACTTCTCCTTCACAAACAAATGCTAGACTTTTAGGTTGCCTATTTGTAAATTAGCTAAACTTAACATACTAACACGAATTATCTCTAACAGCAGCCAAGAAGAAGTAACTAAGAGCACAGAATAAGTACGTACTTCGGTAAGACTTGAAACAGCTAAATCTGTCCCTTCAAATTGGCTAAGTTGAGAACGTGTGGATGTGCTATAACTTCACAATAGCAAAGTTTCGTTTAGGTGAAATTCGGTGCTCGTGTCTTGACTAACAAAAGACGAAGATTTAGTAATTCCAAGATTAACTTCATAATAATTTTCATTATTAAAACCGTCTTCTGTCGTGTAACTTTTGTCCTTTGGAACTAAATCGTTTAAAAAAAATATTTTTCTTAAAAAAACTTTTACGTAATAATGATAGGTACTACTATCCGTTCGCTTTAAGTTTGCCGCTGGCGATATGACGTCACTCGAAGAAAAACGTCTATTACTTTAACAAACGTCAAATATTTTTTATTTATTATTATCGATAAAAATTGTGTATTTTCGTAAAATAAGACACATTAATTGCATTTAATCACTAGCTAATTGCGTTTAATCGCGGTTAGGGGAAGGGACGCGCATTCCACGGACCGGCAAACTTAGCGCGAACGGGTAGTAGGTGTGTACCTACTCTTGAACTGAAAGAAAAAACATAAGCCGATCGCGTTATTTGTAAAAAGAAGGAAAGAACAAAAATGAACATTTTAATTTTATTAACGGCCAGTAAACATCTAAGGAGTTTTTTTCTTACAGCAAGTAAGGCTGGGTTGCACCATCTTACTTTAACTTTAACAAACGTCAAAAGTCTGACAAACCCCATACAAAAAACAACGGTTAGAGTTATAGACACGGTTAAAATAAGGTACGACCTCCCACGTTACAATGTGGCATTTATTAACTTAAGCAAAGTTCACTAACACTGCATATTAGTTGGTGGAACCTGTACAGAGCGCTGTAAAGCGGTTAAGTTCTGCAGCCTCGGGGTATGCGGTTACTAAAGTTAACGTCGTCAACAAAATGAGTTGGTTGAAATCTGAGTGAAGGGTGCATTCAGTGTAGTTTCAACAGAGAAGCTGTGCTTTTAGTATCAGTAGACATACGCCTGTATTCACAAACGATGCTTGCATAAGTGAAGCATCAAATCAAACGCACAGCGTTGAATAGAGCTCGATGATTGGTTCCTGTGCAGTGTCACCCTATGCGTCCACGCGCACTGTGAGACCTCATTATGTTTGTGAATAGGGGCGATAGTGTGACAAAAAATTATGGTAACCTAACACGTTATGAGTGAAAATTCGTATTGTTCATTTATATCACTTTCTCATTGTATTAGAAGGTATTATAAGTAAGTACGGAAAACAATAATAAAGTTCTTACAACTACACTCGACATCAAATAAATCGCACCTCCCGCGACAAGCATTTTCAAACGCATGCTTCCCCACTTCCCACCAATATTGGCACCATTTGAAAGCCTAGTTCTAAACTTCATTTCATTAAAGGAAAGGTTTTTACCCCAAAAATGTGTTTTAGAAGGATCCAGAGTCACTTCTTCAAAAAATAGGTAGTTACGGTAGAGCCAACTTTTATGGCTATAAAACTGTTAAGTTGGGATTAATCGCTATCCATCTGTTAAAAAGAGGACACGTGAGATCATTATTTGGTTTTATAACCATAAAAATTGGTCTAATTGATCCCATAGGTGGGCCCAAAGTGAGGTATTTTTTCAAGTCACATTTATGGTATATGTTAATCATTTATTATGAAATTAAATGTGTTTTTCTTTAAGGATATTTATTGGGTTTTCAAATAACACCAATATTGTTGGGGCACCATGATTGAAGAAAATCGTTAAAGTGCGGTTTATTTGATGTTGAGTGTAGTTTAATTATAGGACCATCAAATAAATGGCAAAAAAAGTTACTCACTTTCAAAGCCATATTAAAATTGTTGATCTGAAACTGAAGACAAAACATCCTCAAAGACATAACCCTTCTATCTCATTAATATCAAGATCTGCCCCCGTAAGTAGGGCCCAAAGATACAATATTCCAAAATAACTTACATTGACCTGAGGCCTAACAAAAGATGTCGCCGAAGCTCGTCCAAAGTTGGCGGCTTAATTGCCCAACTTCGGGAGTCCGAGCCTCGGTCAACACGAAGTTGTAAGAGATAATGGGCCACAAACATGGCAAAGGTTGGCCATGCCACTTTTAACTCGCGATTAGGCGTTTAGGGGTCGACAAATATTGGTACTAAATCGACTGCACACGCTCGTATAGGTAAAAATTATTTTTAATGTAGGTACTTTGTTATGCGTGAATTCTTGAATTCAGTATAAACAAAAAGAAAATCGTTAATATCAATTAAAGAAAACGGGAAAAATTATTGAAATATTTTTTCGAGTAAGGCACTTTCGAGGGCAAAGCTAGTATGTTATGGACCCTTTCCTTCTCTTTTACCCAACATACGATAGAATACAGGACAGAAGAAGACCGCAAACAGTTATTTTTTCCAGTTACTTACCTCTCAAAACGCTTAAGCTGAGTTGCACCTTATTTTAACCGTAACTATAACACTAACCGGTGTTTTTTGGATGGAGTTTGACAGACTTTAGAACTATATTCAGTTAAATTGACTGTTCGAAACTTAATTACCTGTTGAGAACTGGCAACTTAGTTTTTGCCCTGCATTTTACAGGCAATCAAGTTTTAAAATTAGAAATAACTAGAATTTCTTACTACCTGCGATAACATCAAGAAAATCCGTTAACAAGATGAACA